AACAACAACCCCCCCCCCTCCCAAATAATAATTTTAAATCCACATCCTGTAAGGCCTTGGGTGGTAGGACTTGTTTTATATATATATGTTCAGCATGCCTAAAGACATAAAACAGGAAATGAGTTCACAACCTGCTCAGGTCACGACTCCCTGAATTACAAATAGATTTGTAGCGTAATAATACTCAAGTCTGGTCTTGGTCTCAATTGTGAGGGAGCATCAGTTACGGCACTACGGCCATGTGGCATGTTTCCTTGAGGGTGATCCGGCTCACAGGATCCTTATTACTGAGGACCCGAGCAGCTGAACCAGGCCAAGGGGACGCCCACGTAACACCTGGCTGTGGCAGATAGACGGCCATTTCCAGAGAGCGGGACTGAACTACGTGTCGACCTGGGGGGGTCACCAACCGGGATGCCAAAGGTGTTTTGTATTGTTTTTGGGTGGGAGGGGAGCAAAAATGCACTGTGTTTGTTTCTGCTTTAGACTGTACAGTATGTGTTTGAAGGGTGACCTTAAGCCTAATTAAATTCATGGTCTTGAAAACGGATTTGTTTTTTAGGTCTTGGCCAGGACTCGCCTCCTGTAAAGACTAAGTCTTGACTCGGTCTCGGCCACTCCAAAATCCGAAAGTTTTGATCTTGACTCTTTGACCCTTTAAGGTTTTGGTCTGAATTCATTCTCAATATAGGTGGTCTTCATTTGACATATGTTACTTTGACTTTCTGGAATTTATTACATTGTTGTATTTGATAATGTACAAAACATTAAATTTACTCCTGTAAGAATTGCATTTATGCTTTCATTTCTTTCCCTGACATTCTGCTGAAATAAAAATAGTGAACCTGTCAGATCAGAAGGCAAGAGAGTCTTAATGTTATACTGATCTTTCATATGCTCTTCACTCGCTTATTACTTGACTTGCTTTAAATTGTATTTTTATCTATATGACAAACATAAGTTTTCTTTGATATTATTTTCACATTCACTTTTTCAGTGTAGACTATATGTGTACATTTTTCAGGAATATCTAAATCACTCAATTCATTCAAATCATTCTGTTGTTTGAAATAAAACTATGTTCAAGTTCATATAAACATAACATCACCTCCTCTCCTTCATCCTGTTTTTTTCAGCAGCCCCTACAATAGCATGAAAAATAATCCAGTCTAAGTATCCCTCTCTATCATGAGCAGGATCTTGGAGTGTGAACTGATCCTACAACACAGCCATGAATCGGTTCTGTGGCCATGCTGAAGTCTGAGGAGAAGCCACAGTAGTTCCGAGCCTGGTGATGTTGTCCCTCCTGGTCTTTTTTGTAGGACTTCATAAGTTAAAGCTACTTGGATCTGGAGCAGAGTAATA